GGACTGGTTTGAACAGGCTTGAACCAGCCAGAACCAGTTGGAACCAGCTAGGACCGGTTTGAACCAGTCAGAACCGGTTAGGACCGGTTTGAACCAGCCAGAACTGGAAGACCGGTTTGAACCAGTCAGAACCAGCTAGGACCGGTTTGAACCAGCCAGAAGTGGTTGGAGCCGGCCAGGACCTGTTTTAACTAGTCAGAACTGGCTAGGACCGGTTTGAACCAGATAGAACCGGTTGGAACTGGCTACGACCGGTTTGAAACAGACAGAACCGGTTGGAACTGGCTACGACCGGATTGAACCGGTTTGAACCAGTCGGAACCAGCTAGGTCCGGTTTGAACCAGTCAGAACCAGCTAGGATCGGTTTGAACCAGCCAGAACTGGTTGGAGCCGGCCAGGACCAGTTTGAGCCAGTCAGAACCGGCTAGGACCGGTTTGAACCAGACAGAACTGGTTGCAACTGGCTTGTTTAAACTGGTTGAAACCGGTCCCAGCTGGTTCAAACCAGTTCTGGCTGGTTCCAATCTCTCCTGGCTTGTTCAAACTGCTTCTGGCTGGTCATAGCAAATTCTGGCTGGTTCAAACCGGTTGTAGCCCATTCAAACCGGTTCTGGCTCGATCAAATAGGTTCTGGCTTGTTTGTACCAGTTCTGGCTGGTTCAAACTGTTCATTGCCGGTTCTTGCTGGTTCAAATAGATTCTGGCTGGTTAAAACAGGTTCTCACTGCTTTAAACTGGTCCTAACGCATTCAAACCGGTTCTGGCTGGTTTAAACTGACTCAAACCAGTTATGGCAGGTTTAAACTGGTTCTAACTGGTCCTAGCCAGTTCTGGCTCATTTTAACTGGTTCTGGCTGGTTCAATCCAGTTCTGGCTCGTTTAAACTGACAAAAACTGGTCCAAACCGGTTCTGGCTGGTTCAAACCGGTCCTAGCCAGTTCAGGCTGTTTCAAACTGGTCCTAGACAAGTCAAACCGGTCCTAGCCAGTTCATGCTGTTTCAAACTGGTCCTAGCCAGCTCAAACCAGTCCTAGCCGGTTCCAACTGCTTCTGGTTGGTTCAAATCTGTCCTAGCCAGTTGAAATCGGTTCTGACTGGTTCAAACTGGTTCTGGCTGGCTCAAACCAGTTTTAGCCAGTTCAAGCCATTCCTAGCTGGTTCAAATCGGTCCAAGCCTGTTTAAACCAGGAAGAACCCTTTGAACCTGCCAGGACTGGCTTGAACCTTCCAGAACCAGTTTGAACCAGCTAGAACTGGTTTAAACCAGCCAGAACTGGTTGGAAACAGCCAAAACTGGCTATGACCAATTTGAACCAGCCAGAACTGGTTTTAACATGCTAGGACTGGTTTGAACTGGCAATGACTGGTTTGCACCAGCCTGAACTGGCTAGGACCTATTAGAACCACCACATCCATACACACATGCTCAGTTATCCTTTCTGCAGACTGAATCTGTGTGAAGGCCCATAAAACAGGCAACAGCTATTGGCAACTTCATTAATTAGGATTCTGTTTGTACTTTTATTGTGAAGGAAAATCATTTGTCAGCTTAAAGTCAGACCCAGAGCATGTTGAGAACTGTTATTCTAAGAAGGTATTGACTGATGGCTCTCCACAGTGTTCCCTCTCTCCCTATCCCTGCCATCCCACTCCACTCCACCTCCATCTCAGCAGAGAAAACCTCCTTCCCCAGTGCTTCAATTAGGGCCAGAGTGGATGGTTTTGTGAGTTGCCTTCCCAGTAGGCCTGCTTTCATGGCTTCTTCCCTGTCCACCAAACCCTGATTTTGTTCAGGGAAAGGGCAGTTATGTCATCCAGGGCCACTGGCTCCCTCCCAACTCCAGAGAGTGAAGCTGGGTGAGTCAGTTAGTCATGGCAACTCCAGTTCCTGTCCCGGTGACAACACTCTGATCAATTAGGTGTGAGAGGAAGTCTACCCTGGCTCTTTGAAAAGGACTTGAGGAAAAAGCAGCCTCTCATCAAGTCTTTGGACTTGGGCTGGAATGTGACACCTGGAGTCACTGAAGCCCTCCAAGAACAAGTGGCAAGACAGGGAGCAAAAAGGCAGGAAGAAAGCTAACTTGGTGGCATGGTGGTAATGCCCTGCTCAAGTCAAGCTGGGTGGATGGAAGATTGCGGGTTTGGTTCTCTGGTCAACCAGTGCATTTCAGGCGCTATTACCCATGATTCTAACTACCTAGGAAGGCAGGATTTGGGAGGGGATTGAGGTGTGAGATCCTGTTTTGAGAGATTTTTGCTATAGGGTGTGTGCACTTGCCAGAAAGACAGACAGAGACAGAAAGCAAGAAATCACCCCCAGGGGGATGGCCACACCACAATCCCTTCTCCTCTATTCTCTTGGAATCTTGGGCATGCACGTATGCATGCCTGGCGTGAGTTTAAGCCACTGGGTCTGGGACTCAAACTGCAGTTGACCCCATGGGAGTCCAGTGACATAGCTATTACGCCAATTGCTGGTCTCAGAACAGACAACTCTTTAAGGAAGACATACAAACAGCCAAAAAATTACATGAAAAAGTGTTTGACATCCCTTATTTATTTTTTTCTAGAGAGATCTTTGCTATAGCACCTCCTGGGGGGCAGGGGGGATGGCCACACCACAGTCCCTTCTCCTCCTTCCTCCTCTCAGTATCTTGGGCACACATGCTCAGAATGAGTTTTAAGCTGCTAGGTCCGAGACTCAAACCATGGTCAACCTTGTGGGAGTCCAGTAATGTAACCACTACAACATCTGCTGGTCTCCAGCATCCCTTATTATAAGGGAGCTGCAAATCCAAACCACAATGAGATACCATCTAACCCCAGTCAGGATAGCTAAGATTACAAAAATGAAAAGTGGCAAGTCCTGGCAAGGCTGTGTTGAAAACGGAACGCCCCTACAATGTTGGTGGGAATGTAAATTAGTACAGCCACTGTGGAGAACAATATGGAGGTTCCTCAAAGACCTACAAATAGAACTACCATATAACCCAGGAATTCTACTTCTGGGTATCAACTTAAATGATAGGAATCCACTCAGTCAGAAAAACACTTGCTCATCTGTGTTTATTGCAGCATTACTCAGAATTGCTAAGACATGGACTCACCCCAAATGTCCTTGAACAGACGAGTGGGTTGAAAAAGTGGCACATATATATTATGGAGTACTACTCAGCCATAAAAAACAAAAACAAACAGACAAACAAAAAAACCCAATGAGACCCTGGGATCTGATAGATAGTGGATTAATATGGAAGATACATTGCTAAGTGAAGCAAGCCACACCATGAAAGAGAGGCATTGTATGTCCCTACTTAATATATATCAAATGTCTGCACTCTGTGGCAGAAACGGAAAGATTGGAAGGTATAGAAGCATAGAAAGCAGCTCTGAATACTAGAGACAGTGTGGAAAGAGGATGGGAAATTGGGGAGGGTAATAGGGAGAGAGAGTCAAGGGGAATAAGAAGCAAAACATTTAAAGGACAAAAAATGGAAAATTATCTTTTGATGATAATGGTGGATAGTAATATCTTTGACTGGGGAAAATTCATTTTGTAAGCTGTAATGTACAGTGATTAAATGTAAAAGTAAAATAAAAATACAGTGGATATGGAAAAGAACAGCTAAAGAGAGATCAGTAAGCTGAAAGGTATTTTGGGAAATAGATTGTATCACTGAGAAATAAAGATAGAAAATCTGAAAGGGAACAATTTAAGATGTAAGGGGAATAGTAAAGGAAGTTTATTATGAATTTGATAGGCGTTTAAGAAGGTAAACAAGGAATGAGGAAGAGGTGATATGCGAAGAGAATATTCATGAACATTTTCTACTTTTGATGGAAGACATCAGAATCAGGGAGTGCAGTGACTTTCTCACACGATAAGTTAAAGAGTATGTGAGCAGTGACATTGTTATCATGGAAGTGGCAAAGGTAGATACACACAGATTAAAATAGTAATAGTTTTATTAATTCATTGATTTGAGTCCTTTCTATGTGTCAGAATGCTGTCAGTGAACAGACAGTATCTCTCCCACCCTGGAGCTGACAGTCTGGAATGGGCGAGGGACAATATATAAATGAGCAGGTGTGGAGTACGATGTCAGGCATGATAGGAGCTATGAAAAAGACAACTTGAGATACATTACATTTAACAGAGCTATATGGAGCAAAGAACGGTTTGCAAATTAGGCAGCTCCCAGAACAAACCTAAAAGACATTATGTCAAGTGAAATAAGCCAGAGACAGCAAGAGAAATGCTGCATGTTCTCACTCTTATGTGGAAACTGAAAAAATTGCCCTCATTTAAATAGAAAATAGGATACTGGTTACTAGAGGTGGGGGAAGGGAGGGGGAGG